ACCTTAGAATTTTGAAGAAATTTTATAAAGAATAGGTTATTTATGTATATATGTTATTATTTATGTTATTATATTTATCTATGCGGAATTTGGTAAGACTTCGGTGAACACAACAGAACTTATGTTTTTCTTGTCAAAAAACGTGTGAGAAGGTAAAATATCAGTATAAAGTACTAAAATGGTCCATTTACGCATTTTTCCGAATTTTCAGACCCTTGAAAATCCGGGAACCATAGGGGGGAGTAAGCTGTTTTTTGGGGTGAAAAATTCGAATATACAAATAAAAGCTCATTCGAAAGGGCTCGACGAGCTGAGTTGACGACACGAAAATCAGCTCGATTGGATAAGTATGAACCCCCGCCCCTACCCCTATTTGAGTCTCAGATTAATTTTCCTTTTTTGCTGTGAATCATTACTTCCCTTATAAATTTTAATTAAAAGGCAAGTTAGAGAGAGAAAAATTAGAAAGGCCTTCTAACTTAACTTAAAATTTGTGAGGGAAAGAATGATTGACAGTAAAAAAGGAAAATTAATCTGAGACTCAAATAGGGCCGGGATATTAATAAAACAAAACCATAACTCATAAAATACGGTTGGGGTCACTAGAGTGCCGCCACTAGAGTGCTGCCACTAGAGAGCGGGCACTAGAGAGCTGAGCCGCTAGAGAGCGAGCCACTAGAGAGCGGGCCACTAGAGTGCCAATAGTATAAAACCTAAAAATGTTTTTAAGAAATAACAATGTTCTAATCACAGCCTACTGTTGTTCCAACTACAGAGGAAGGTTGCTCCAATGACGGGAAAGCTTGTTCCAATAACGGGGAAGCTTGTTCCAATAACGTGGGAGGTTATTCAAATGACGGGGGAGTTTGTTCAAATGACGTGGGAGGTTGTTCCAATGACGGGGGAGATTGTTCAAATGTCGGGGAAGGTTGTTCCAATGACAGCTGAGGTTGTTCTTCTAACGGGGCAAGCTGTTCCAGCAATGGAAAAAGTTGTATCGGCAACGGGGCTAGTTGTTCCATTTGTTAAGATGATGGGGCATTGATGGGGATTTTGTTCCAACAATGGAAAATCTTGGTCTAGCGTCGGGAAAGTTGTTCCAACATAGATGACCTTGTTCCAACAACTAGGGATGTGCCCGGCACTTTTTAATCTATTGGCACTCTAGTGGCTCGCTCTCTAGTGGCTCAGCTCTCTAGTGCCCGCTCTCTAGTGGCAGCACTCTAGTGGCGGCACTCTAGTGGCCCGTTCCGCATAAAATAGGGAAATAAATTATTTTTAATACCCGCGCCTCTATTTGAGTCTCAGATTAATTTCCCATTTTTACTGTCAATCATTCTTTTAGCACTGTTAACACTAAAATGACGGAAAATTTTATACGACATTAAAGTCCCAAATAAAATTATTTCCTGCGGAAACGTTATTTTAATTCACCCAAGCGATAATAATTTTCATTTTTAGCCAAACTATTAAATTAAAAATTAATGTATCTAAACAATTTTTAATTAAAAACCAACTAAAAATTTATCGTGTCTGATTATATGACTTAAATTAGAACTGAAATTATCAAAATTTTTTCAGTGAAATTTAGTGAAAATTATTATTGAAAATTACTAGTACTTTATAGAAATTAATATAAATACCTAATTTTAAATAAATCATGTCCATCAAAATCTTATAATTACCAACATTTTCAGTAGTTAATGCACCCCAAAAGTGACACCAAAAGTGACACCTGTCAATCAAACTCACACCTATAGGGGGGGGTTTTGAGCTGATTAATAGGTAATTTCTGTGCCTATAAGGCACTTTTCTTTTGATATTGCCGCATGAAAGGTAATTAATCATGATTAATTAGGGTAATTAATCACAAATGATTAATTACCTTTTGACAAATATTTTGCGGGAGATTTAAGGGTATCGAAATATTAATGTTTGTGACATTTGATGATACGGTGAAACAAAGGGAAAGGGATTTTTAAAATTAATATTATCGAAAAGGAAGTGCGGTAAAATAAAAGAGCCTAAATGATTTGGAGTGAAAGTGCGGTAAAATAAAAAACAAACTTAAAGGTTTAGGGGTTCATCTTTTTATCTTTTTTATCTATTTATCTTTTCATCTTTGGAGGAACAACAAATTATTGACAACTTCAATTTACACTTTATAAAATTTTTAATTTGTTAATCTTTAATCTACATAAATACTCCCTTTTCTTTTTCCTCACATAAACATTACAAAACAACATTGTAATAAAGCCAAGCTGCAAAATTTACTCTTTGATTTTCTAATGTTCTCTTTTCCCTGTGTTTTTTCTCTTTCTCTTCCCTTTATTTTCCTTTTTTTTGTTGACAGCCGACTAAGTTTTAGACGCTACATTATTTGTTGCTGGTTCAATGTAAGAGAAAATTAAGGAGAAAAACAAGTAAAGAGTCCTTTTTTTCTAGTTATATTTTTACTATTTTATTGTATTTTTTCCAATTTTGCTCTTATTGTTATTCTCAAAAAAGCTTTTAAATATTTCAATTGAATTTCCCTTTAATTTATCACAAAAAATTTTGAAAAATATCTCAGGATTAATTAATTAATTTAATTTGTCAAAAAATCTCTTTTATTTAAAATGTTTCGTTATTTACGTTCTCGAATTTTTATGAAATAAAGATTCTGAACAAAAAGACTTATTGCAAAAATTTTTCTTTTAATTTAATTTATTTCTATTTTCTAAAAGATTACAACATATGTATTTCCTCAGAGTTTTTTTGTTTTACTTTAATTTAAAGTTTTGGATTTTTAGCGATTGGAACTAGAGATGAAAGGCACCAAATGTAATTTATTTTTTAAATTTTTAAAATTATTGAGATTTTTGGGAAATTTTTGAATAGTTTTGATACTTTATTTTTATTCAAATACTTTTGTGAAATTTTTATTCAAAATTATTCCTATTAGAGAACAAAATTTTAAAAACCCTTGATTTTATTGAGTACTGTGACGAAATTATTAACTTCGAATCAAGGAAAAATCAAAATTTTAATGATATAACCAAATGGTAAATATTCAAATTGAATTTCTAATTTATTTTCTGGATTCTTCCAAAAAATTACTATTCGATGCAATGACCTTACAAAAACGAAATTTGCTTTATAGAAATTTTTTACAAAATTGTTAATAATGAATTGAAATTAATTAAAGAGTATGTATGATCCAATTCCAAATGAATTTTATAATAGTTCACAATCTTTTAAATTTCGGAACTGTTTGAATGAAAATGGAAATTCTGCGTTTCTTTTCGCTTATTTTTTATTTTTTAAAATAAAGGTTTTGGTTCGCTTCGGGGTAGATATTGAGATATGTCAATTTAAAAATTAAAAAAACTCATGGGGTCCTAATTTTTTGGGGTGAAAAATTAAAAAATTCTATTCTTCAAGCGATTTATTTAATTCTTCTACACTTTTATTTGTAAATAAAGAATGGGGAATTGGAATTGCCGGAGGAAATAGTGGATGAGGAGAGGGAGGGGGAAGTTTATTCTTTTGATTTTTTTCCTTTTCCACTTTTTTCACATTTTTACACTAACAAATAAGCTAATTTTCATTATTTTTACACTAACCTTTTAGCAATATATTTGGAAAAAGGATTTTTTAATAATGTAAATAAAAATAATCAACATTGGGGGTGGGTGGTGGTACATTCGGTTGTGTTCTGGATTGGGTCTTTTCCATGATAGTTCTATTCCATCTCCCATCCAATGAATTTTTCCACACACATTAAAAAATTTAATATTCAAAAATAAAAATTTTAACTTATAATATTAATTTAGTTAATAAAGTCAGCTTTGCGACTTTTAGGTGACGAGTGTGCTAGTCCACTCGGGATTGTGCTTCGCCAATCTAAGTGAGTTGTGTGCTATGCCACAAATAGTTAAGAAAGTCTGCTTTGCAACTTTTAGGTAACGAGTGTGCTAGTCCACTCGGGATTGTGCTTTGCCAATCTAGTTTTAAAAAATATTAAAAAATTTTATTTAAATATTGAAATAATGTGAATTAAAAATAATTTTACAATCCTATATATAATTTGAAGGTGGGAAAAAATAATTATGATTTAAAACCAAAATATATTTAAAATATTAAAATTCCTATATATAATTTGAGAAAGAAAAATAATTTAAAGAAAAAGTTAAAATTTTTATAATTTAAAGCAAAACATATTGAAAAATAAAATTAATACAAATAAAATAAATTACATAATTAAAATTTGGAGCCAAAGTTAACAATTTTATTTTCGGGGACAACAATACCTTTTAAAATTATGGGTTGAAATTTTTTAGAAAGTTTAGTTGTAACAACTGTACCTTTCTTTAAATTAGGTTTGAGAAAGTGTGAATATTCTACTAATATTACATCATTTTCTTCATTATTTTCTTCTTGATCATCTTCTCTTTCATCATCAAAGCGTTTTCCAAATTCCAGTACACTCTCTTTGAAACTTTCATAGTGGAGTTTCTTGCACACTTCACTATTCAAGGTAATTCCACGTACTTTTAATGAAGTCACTTCTTTTCCAGTCTTCTTTTCTTTCATTGAAAGTCCATATGCCTTACACGCAGCGCCTACATATTCCTTGATGTCACAGTCGTCATATTCTGGTGCTAAATCTCCAAGATGTGGACCAGCTGAGAGCGGGCATCCTTGTCCCTTTGGGTAGGAGAAAAGGACACTATCTGTGTCCCCGTACAATAACGAACAGCCAGGAGCTCTTACAATTTTTTGCATTGCCTTCAATAAATGGACTCTCGCCATTGATGTCGTCCAGAGAGATATAACTATGTTTGATGTCTGATGTTCCTCTATGAATTCATTCTTCTTATCATAAGTGATGAGAATAGTGTCTTGAGTCAATTTGTCGATTGTATTTACTTCTATTGATTTATTTTCCATAAATTTCTTCAGTTCAGCTGGTGAGTCTGTTAAAAAACTTTTTGAAAGTGTGTTTCGAAGACTGAATCTTCCCCATAAAGAGTTGAGCATTAACTTCGAGATGTATCTCATTGCTTTATCAGGTAACATTTTTTCTTTTTCCAATCTAATTCCAAATCTTTCTTCACACTCTTTCATGAATTGTTCTTCTTTTTCTTCGGTATTTATCTCCTTTGGAAATCCACTTGCATGGATTTTCATTGACATGAATTCAGCAACATATCCTTTAAATAATTCCTTATCCCATTTTTCATAATGAAGTGCTCTAAAATATTTTGTGACCTTGTATCCGCTGTTTAATGCTTCTGCAAGCTCTATCGACGTGCATGTTGACACCCAACCTCTTTCTTGTTCTTCATGTATGCATTTATATTCTTTTAATGTTGCGCCGCGGGGATAATCCATTGAGCATTTTCGGCAAAGTGGGAATAACAACCTCTCATCAAATTTCACAGGCATGACTGGAACATCTACTTGATCAGGTGGAATTAGAAAAACTTTAAGAATCCCATTAACAGGAATTTGACTGCTGCTGTACCAGTTGACATTTTGATCTTTTTTAGATATTATTATTACTTTTGGGTGACCCACGGGAAATGATGTTGTTGCAATTGTGGATGGATAAAGTGAATTAAAGTCCAAATAAGAAATTTTGTGTTGTTCATCTGCTTTATAATGAAGACATAGTGGTCCAGTCCGACCTCCAAAGAAACAATCTCGTAATTTTATCGGACCCTTATCCAAATAATTTTTAAAACTTTTTCTCATTTGTTTATTTCTTTGAAGCATTTTCTTGATTTCACATTCCCAAATCACATCTACATGTTTAATATGTTGTTTCAAAATTCTTAATCTTTCTTCATTTTCTTTTTGAATGACTTCCACTGTTTTCCCATTTGGCATTACAAAGTCTGGTTTATCTCCATAATGTTTTGGACACGCATGCCACACGCATCCATGCACTTCTATTGCTCTATCCTCTTCTTTAATATATCCATCCACCCTAAATCTTCCTGCAACTTGATATTCTCCATTTTCTGAATGTGCAGTTTGTATCTCAACATTGTATTTTTCTGAATACCAATCCATGTATTTCATTGCCAATGCACTTTGTGTGTCGCAAGTATCATATCCTTTCTCTGGTACAATTGCTAGGTGTTCAGGTTTAAGATGATTTAGCCTGAAATGCTTCATACATGCTGATGCAATCGTCATTGCATCCCTCAGGATGTCAATGCCGAAAGCTCCTTGTGTAGTTTTTGGACGACTTATTTCCATAAATTTATCTCGAAATGCCAAAAGAGCCTCGGTGAGTATCTGTACGTCATTAAGGCAGTACTCAGCAAGTGCTTCATTCAAACAAAATGTATTGAATTTTTCTTGTTCATACCATTGATCAAATTTTTTCTGCTTCTCTGGTGTCATACCTCCATATAAATATTCTGATTTTTGTGGAAGTTCAGGAAGAGTAATATCATAATTGTTATAGTTGTTTGCCATATGTGGAAAGAATTGTTTTTCTTGAATTTGGAGATCAAATGCACCGACTAATTGTCCTAAAGCAACAGGGCAAATGTTGTACGAATCGCGAAATATGACTTCATTGCATTTGTGTGTTTTTGGAACCTTTAGTTCATAGAGTTTATTGCCTCTTCTTATCATTGTTGGAACAATACCAGCTGTAAATATCTCGCGAAATGTCATAATCATATCATATCTTCCACCAAAATGAGAAAATGCTATTGAAATAAATCTCCCATCCAATTCGAATAATAACCAGTTGACGAAATCGTGAAGGGGGTTAGCTGTAACTCGCTGCTCATCTACATGAGTGTTGTAAAAAGGCCGGTGTGAGAATGTTATTGATCTATTAGGACCGCAAATAGTACATACTTTACCATTTTTCTTGAGAAAAGTTCCCCATAGTTGTTTATTTTCCATACAAATTGTACAAGTAATTGTTGCTGCAATAAAATTTACGCAGTGTAGTCGATTATTTTGGTTTTCCAGATCAATTGTATCTTGTGTTGCCTCAAAATCAAATGTCACAAGACGGTAAGGTTTTTGCTTCTTTTGTTCTAATGGCTTGATAAAACATCCTCTTTCCTTACTATGGAACACTAAACAGTTTGCACACCATTTATGTCCACATATGTGTTTTTCCTTGCGATAAGATCTAATGTCCCAGATTATTCCACATTTTTCACATTGTTTTGATCTGTTGCAGTGATTACTTGATTTATGATGGTTGAAACAATCTTTATCGCAAAATATTTTTTTACAGTCAATACATTCCTTATTAAAGTTCTGGCTGACAGGGCATGGTTTTCCAACTCCTACTCTTCCACAAAGTCTGCATCGTGATTTGCATTTATTATCGTGCTCTCTCGGCTTTCTGTATTTCTTCTCACATGTATAACAATATTGCCAATGACTGCCAAATTGAGCTCCAACTGTGCGTATACCATCAAAATGATCACCAGAATGGTAGATTGGAATTGCTGTATTAAAAGTATCAGATCCATATTTGTATATTAATTTTTCTTCACATCTTTCGCCAAATATAAAAACTTTGAATCTGTAACCATTCTTTTCATAAATGTTGTTCCAGTAATCGACAACTTTCGGTACATAAATCTGGGCCTCATATTTTTCTTCGTTTAATGGAATGCCAATATTTTTCATTAAGTTAATTACATCTGACTGTTGTCTTTGATGTCGTTCAAGATGGTACCTTCTAAAGTATTCTTTAGTTCCCAATTCTTTTGTTACATGTTTTCTAGTAAGTTCAAGTGCATAAAATAAGCAATAATTATTGTTGTTCCAGACTTTGATGAGCCAAATGGGAATAGGTGTTGTTTGATTTGATGGCCCCTTTCCACCAATAGATGTTTCTTTGGGCAATGAGGAAACATCTAATGAATGGATTGTGACTGTAAACGGCTCCCCCAAAAGAGAACCGCGTTCAGCTTTCGATTGAGAAACAAGAAGAAATCGTTGAAGGATATTTTCTATTGTGTCGTCGTGTAAAGTACGAATGGGGATCCATATGTCACTATCTAACAATGTTGAGGAAATGGTGGCTCCTAATTGATCCACAACAATACCATTTTCTTTAGCGTCGGAAATTGATTCTTTAATACAATTATCCAGGACTCGTCGAAGAACCTCCTCGGGATTTTGGGGAAGTGATTTGATTAGGAATTTTGAAACTAATTTCATAAGTTTGAATTTTTTGCAAAATGATTTTTGAGAATTAATCTTTTCAAAGCAATGATTAATTCCACCGGCTCCTGTTTGATTTTGCTGCTCTTGTGTATCATTTAATAATAAATTTTCAATAAAAAAGCTGGGTCGAGTTCGTTGCTCGTTTTGTCTTGGTCTTTCATTAAGATCCAAGATATCTTCAATAGAAAAACGAGCTTTTTTGGGAGGACTTGACATTTTTTTGATGCGAATTTTTTGAAGAAAATTGAAATTTTTATTTAAAAGGGAATAATGATATTGAAATGAGAGCTTTTATACTAAACAAAAAATGGGCGTGGCTTGACACGTGCCAGGTTGTATCAGCCTAATTTAACATGGCTTGACTCGTACCAGGTAGTATCAACCTAAATTAACTAAAGAAATAAAGTCTAACTTATCTTTTTTATTTGCCCCAATCAAAATATTTGAATTGAATGAGAATATTACAACAATAAAACTCTTCCTTTCTTCAAAGAAATACCGCTTAAAGTCTATTTAGTGTAATAAATATATTACCAACCGAGGAAGTTACAACAAAACAACATTTTTTACAACAACTCTGTCTTTCAAAAGAGTGCCGCTCAAAGATTTCTCAATAAATTTAATGGCAGGCGGGGAAAAGGGAAAATAAAGTTTAAAGTTAAAGTCCATATTTATTTAAAAAATCCTATAAAAAGCAAAAGAAAAAGGGAAAATGTTTAAGATTTCGGCTTAAGTTTTTCAATAAATTTAGTAGCAGACGGGGGGAAAAGGAAAATAAAGTTTAAACAAATCCAGCAGCTCAAAGTTTTCTCAATAAATTTAAAGTCAGACGGGAAAAAGGGAAAATTAAGTTTAAACAAATCTAGCCGCTTAATGTTTTCTCATAAAGTTAGTAGCAGACGGGGAAAGGGGAAAATAAAGTTTAAAATAAAAGTCCCTATTGTCTACACGAATCCTAGAAAAAAGCAAAAGAAAAAGGGAAAAATTTATTTAATATTAAAAAATATTTGAATTAAATTTTAAATGTACAATTTTGAAATTTAATTGGAATTTGAAGTCTTTTCTTGATCTTCTTGTTTTTTCTTGATTGTCCAATCGCATAGAACATCCTTCACGTACATGTTTAGATAAACACATTGTTTGCACAAATCGAAGGAGATTTTGACACCACCAGTATTTTCGCTTTCCACAACTCTTCCAGTGCTGTGGAATAAAATGTTTGAGCAAGTTCGGCAAAGGCGGAACTCAAGTCGAGGAATGTATTTCATTCTTGTTAGTTTCCATAACATTTTATTGTTCGCTGTATTTTTTGCAATCACCTTCCTGATTACTGCTTTCTTGCTTAACCAAAGGTCCTTTTCCCCATTATCATTATTATCAACATTTGCTTTCTTTTCTTCAATAATTTCAATTATATCAGGCTTTGCCTCTTCAACCTTAGCCAAGTTTGGGGAAGTTGGGTTGGACATGTTTTTAATTTTGCTTTAAAAAATGAAAGAATGATTTCAGGTAGGGAAACTCGAGTATTTATACCCAAAAAAAAGGGCGGGGCTTATCTATCTTTTTTGCTATCATTACACTTTTATCGGCGTATATAAAGGCAAAGTATTTCCATTCATTATTCATTTATTTAAAAATAAATATTTATTGCAAAAAAATGTCAACTCTCTTGGAGAAAATTTCAAAAATTCTGGATTGTACTCCTGAAAATGTTCGTTATCGTCTTAACAATAAATCAGACAGAGACCGCGTCCTCGATGAAATTAGAGGGAAAGCTTTGAAAACTAATTATCTTGATCGGAACTGATCAAAGCAAATAATTTATTGTGATGGAATTACTACTCATTGTTCTCACCAGTTAATGGCTTTTGGAAATCTCCGATCGCCTTTTAATATTTGTGTTAGTGCGTATTTCTATGCTAGACATCGAATTTTGCTAAAATACCCTTATCAACAATGCATTCAATATAAAAATTTGTACTATCCATTGGAACTTCTTGAATTAAACTATGACATGGAGGAAACAGAAACAGACTCTGATTCTCCAATAATAATGAAAAATTTGCGCAAAAAGGCGTCATCGTCTTCAGAATCGACAGGAACGTTTGATATAAGTTCAACAAATTCAAATATTGGAAAATCGGCTGAAACATCACACAAGGTGATAAATCACACACGGCGGGGAATCCTTTGGCTATATGTGGATGACAAGAAACTTTGGGAAAAACACGAAATTACACTATATTCTTTAAAGTAAAATAAAAATTTCATTTTACAATCATTAATTTTTCTTAAATTTAATTTTCTTTTCCTTAATTTTGCACTTTTACCCCTAAAAATGATATTATTTTTTGCTAAATTTTTTTAAAAATTTGTCTTGTTTTCATTAATTTTTATCAAAATAAAATTGATTAAATTAGTTTATTTACAAATGATTTTACAAATTCATCGGGGTTTGGACAATTATTTAGGATTAGTAAATATTTTTCATATGTATATCCTAGGGAAATGAAATATAAAAATACAATACAATGCTGCCCACATTCTTTAGATAATGGGTTTTGTACGGGAACTTTGTTTTTAATTTGTTTTGGAAATTGTGATAAAAAATTTTTTATTGGAACAGGCATGATTGGGATTAGCAGTGAATCGAAAATATAAACCGTCGTCTGATTTCTTATATAAATTGCAATCCAATGTGATCCTTTATTTGTTGCTCTATCGAGATTGACTATCATTGAACATGGAAATTTTTGTATTTCTTTTGGGATCTTATCCGCTGCAAAACATCCTATAAAATATC